CCAGTGTCTTCCCAGCCCCCTCAGCCTCATGAGTAAGTTATACATTCACACAGCTCATGATTGGCAAACAATGCATTCCTTCCCACCCTTCCCATCATTATCAATGAAAATAGGGTTTGTGTTCCTCCCTTTTCCCTCCAATATCCTTCCCTAGGAGCATGGCCCTGAGCTACCTTGTCTAATAAAGAAATTTGACTCAGAGTTGTTGTACATAGCATTTTATTGAGCACGTATCTCTCCTCAGAAGCACCCTTGTATCTTAGACAATGAGTAGACAGACAGCAGAGAGACGTATACAAAGTGCTTTTGTGTAGCTCCGCTACAGCTGATTCATAGCTGCCTGACCAGACCAGCTGCATGATTCGGGCAGTTCAGTGGCTGCAGTCACACATGGCTGGGTGCTTCTGGAGCTTCACATGTAGCACAGCTGGCTGTTGATCCCAAATCTGGATCAAGGTGAGTGTACTGGTGAAAACTATCCTTGAGCCTCGTCATGAATTCATTTCGGGATTCCGTCGGTTTTTTAACAATCTCATATGCTCTGTCAAGGTTTCACAGTCTTTGGCACTCCTAGTTTGAGGCCATGAATTATAGCATTTCTTGCTGCTTTCAGCAGGCAGGCCCCAGCAAGCTTATTAGGATTGGGATCAATAACTCGGGTTATGAGGGCTGCTGCTTCAGGCCAATCAACTGTTCCATTGCCATCGGGTATTTGTTGAACCGTATGAATAGTATATCAGGCGTAGGTCTTAGCAAGAGCCTGCCATTTCTCATCTTCGCTTAGGAGGCTGCTCAGAAGAGTGATGAGTAGTAATATCTGTTGGTACTTGATGGGATATAGGCCAGAACTAATTTATTTCCCATTGGGAGCTCCATTAAGGGGAGAACTTTCTCCATAGGTTTAGGTGTAAAGCGATCTGGGGGCACTCCCTGTGTGGTTTGTTTAGATCAAGGGTCACCAACCCCCAGTCCGCGGCCCGGTGCCGGTCTGTGGGCATCCGTCAACTGGGCTGCGGACACGGAGCTCCACCACGGCCTGCATACACGAGGGTGCGTGTCGTGCTTGCGGAGGGGCGTGTCAGGCTCACAGGTGGGTGTGTCACACTTTCACAGCTCCCCATTGCCTGGCGGGCTGGCTGGCGGTGCCTGCTACTGGCCGCTTTGTTCTTTCGGACGGAACATTCGTTCCACCTTGTTGGCCGCGGCTCTTTGGCCCCAGCGATGGCTGCAAACAAGCAGCAGCAAGAAAGGAAAAGGGAAGGAAGAGAGAGGGAGGGAATGAGCGACAGACCGTCAAGACTGATGGACGAGCAGGTGCCAGCTCTTCGCAGCAGGCTGCAAATAGAAACCGGGGGGGGGGGGGGAGTTGGATAGATCCCCATTCTCTGAACAGATAAAAGATAATTATCTATGAACAGATAAAATGTCTGGACAAAATTTATAGGATGCAAAGTCTTTCTCTCTTTTCTCTGAGCTCCATATACTTTTAAGCACCTAGCCCAGGGTTGTTGTTTTTTTTAAAAAGAGGAAATGTTCAATCAAATGCTCAAATGCACCGTCAAACTGTCCCTCTCCAAAGAAAACCAAACTCAGATCTTCAGACCCAGGACCTCCTAGAGAGCAGTCAGAAAGATCTGCAAACATTTAATGGAGATGATGAAGAGGAACGTCTGGCCAAACAGATGCTTTAATATGGTTTGGGCACTTTGATTTGAGAATGGAAATAAAATTTCCTTACCCTGATATAAACGGTGACACATTGCAGTGCCTTTTGTTTAAAGTTCTTAATAAACAGATCCATGTAATCCAGGTTTTCTTTATTTCTTCAACTGCACATCTATCCGTTTCCAATGGCACATACTGTGTCAAACTGAAAAATGTGGCATGATGAGGAATTCCGGACAAACGCAGCAGCTTGCACACTAAAGGGGTACTGTGGTTCACTGTGGTTTTTCTTTTGCTTTGATGGCCCTAAGAAAGAAACTCTGAAGTGGGGAAGAGAAAATCAGGGAAGAGAGGAAAGACAGAAAGAGACCACAGAGAGAAAAAGACGAACCACCCAGGTTCAAGAGATGTTCACCTCAGGACTTGGGACTTTCAGTACCAGAGAGATAACTTCACGGGTCTCTTCCTGAGACCCACCAGGAAGACAGTTACCACAGGAACCGGTATTCATGGACTTAAAAGACAGAAAGTACAGTGGTGCCTCGCATAACGAGCGCACCGTTTAATGACGAATCCGCATAGCAATCCGTTTTTTGGGATCGCTAATGCAATTGCATACCGATGTTTTTTATGGCCGAAAATCGCTTTGTGACGATCGGTAAGCGTTTCACTTACCAATTTTTGCATAGCAATTTTAAAAAACAGCTGTTCGGCGGTTCCAAAATGGCCGCCGGACGCCCAAAATGGCCGTGCGCAGTGTTTTCGCGCCCTGCCCTCGCTTACCGAGGGCGCGAAAATGGTGGCTGGATGGGGAAACTTCGCTGAATGGTGAGTTTTGGGCCCCATTGGAACGCATTAAATGAAGTTTAATGCGTTCCAATGGGTTTTTCCATTCCGTATAGCGATGTTTCCCCATAGCGATGGCTAATCCAGAACGGATTAACCTCGCTATGCGGGGCACCACTGTATTATAAGACTATGGGAGCAAACATTTGAGAACCCCTTTCCTGTTTATGAAAAGAAAACTTTTATTAATTCCATAAGTTTGAAAGAGTTGTTAATTGTTAAAGCTGATGTTCAGAGTTTCCTGGATGATCCAGACATAAATACTGAATGTTCAGAAGAACCTCAGGGGTCTAATCTATTCCCACACAACATATCTAAGAAGTCTTCCTTGTCAGTGAAACCCACACACACGGTGACATATCCCTTAAATCAGGGGTCCCCAATCCCTGGTCCGCGGCTCGGTGCTGGTCCGTGGGCTTGCCGGAACTGGTCCGATGAGAGGGGTCTCCGCTCCCCCCTGCCATGGTGGGCATGTTGCACTTGTGCAGGGGGCGTGTCTCACTCACAGGGGCATGTCATGCTCGCACAAGGGCATGAGCACGACACCCCCCGCACATGTGGAGGTGCCCCCGCCCCCCTGCACAAAAAGCCCACCCCCCCAACCAGTCCATGGTCCCAAAGATGTTGGGGACCGCTGCCTTAAATACATCCCGGCTGGATTACTGTAACACACTCTACCTGGGGCTGACCTCAGAAAGTGTTTGGACTCCAAAGGGTCCAAAATGCAGCAACCAGATTCCTGACTGTGGTTCGTCACAGCGATCATATAACCCTCCTGTGACAGTGTGAGACAGAAGGTGAGAGGGATACCCCACCCACCGGAGAGCCGTCCCTCCTCCACAACAAGGGTAAGGAGGCGATACCCCAACCAGCCCCAGAATCTACGGAGAGAGCTCAGCAAGGGACAGAAATAGAGGAACAGAGTGAAGAGATACAGAAAATAACAATAGTGGAAGTTCTAGAGGAAAAGGCGGAGAAGGAGATGAAAAAGAGGGTGTGGATTTTGAGACAGGAACAGGGGAGGTAAAAAAGGAAGGAAGGGCAGTTGCCACCAGGCTGGAAGGGTCGACAGGGCAGACTGTAAGAGCCTGGGTCCCTTCAGATTTGCTGGGACCATGGAACACGAGTTGTGGAAATCCGTTCCTGTTCGAAGGTTGGAAACGCCTTCGGGACCCGTTGGCAGAAGGAGAAAAGCCTGAAGTTCATGTTATGGACCCTTGTTTATTGTCAAATGCACCAATAAATCTTTCACCTCTTTTGATGCAACAAAAATCTACTGATTTCTTTGAGCCAAACAAAGAGCCAAAAGCTGAACCCTCACAGACAGCAGCTCCACTGGCTGCCGATCAGTTACTAGGCACAATTTAAAGTGTTGCTTATGACCTATAAAGCCGTAAACGGCTTGACTCCAAGCTATCTCAAGAACTATGTCTCCCTTTTATGAGCCTGCTCGGGGGTTAAGATCATCAGGAGAGGCCTTTCTCTCGATCACAACAACTTCATGGGTGTCTTCCTGAGATGTGCATCCGATGGGGACACTAGGAGAGGGCCTTCTCTGTGGCTGCTCCCAGACTTTGGAACTCCCTCCCACTGGAGGCCAGGCTGGCCCCAGCTTGGCTCTCGTTCCGCCAGCAGGCAAAAAACCTTTCCCTTCTGGTAATCTTTCCATTTAGACTTGCTTCCTGAGTAGGGTTTTTTAGTTGTTTGTTGTGCCTTGCTGCGTTTGAGTGTGGTTTTAGTGTTGCTTCTGCCTACCATTTTATTTTAAGCATGATGTTTAAAAAATCCTTTCTAGTATTTGTATACCTACTATTTTTAGGTTTATCTACTGTGTTGTCTTGTTAATTATGTAAGCCGTCTTGGGTTCTTTTTAGGGAGGGAGGGGAAAAGCTATTTTAAACAAACAAACAAATGGAAACACACACACAGAGGCCTCCAAAGGACCACCCATGTGTCTATAGGGAGCAAGAAGCCTTACTGGCTTTCTTTCCTGCAGATTTGGTAAAACGCTGGGGTGAGGGAAACTATCGTTTTTCCAGTTTGGCATTAAAAGATCTGTTAGGTCTTTCCTGCAGTAATGCCTACTAGTGTGTTTTGTTTTATTTTCCTTTTTTTCCACGCCTAGAGCTCGCTCTCTTCTGTATATGAAAGATTTGCTTTAAAAAAAGTTAAAAAGTTATGCCAGCGCGTTTGCAAATTTTTTTTTGAAAAGCCCCGCAGAACAGAATCAAGGGGCGCCTTTTCTTGCCGTTTCGTCCCTCCCTCCTCGGCTTTTGGTTCCTTGTTGTCCCTAGTTTGAATTTTTTGGGGGGCGCTTTGTTTAAACAACGCTCAATGCCCTTGCAGTTCCACGCTCCGAGGGTTAATGCCAGCGAGATCGCCCACAAAGGCGATGCCTAGCAAGACCCGTTTCTCGTTTCCTGCCTCCTTTTCCTCCCTTCCCCCCAGGTGCACTCTCAAAATTCTTCCATTCTTCCCCCGCTCCTCCCTCCTACCTGAGGGGGTCTGAGGTGTTCCGTATGATTTAGCTCGGAAGGAAAGGGGCGAAAAGGCAGAATCCCCTTTCTTGGGGCTCCTGGTGAGTGTGCAAGGGTTTTTTGGGGGGGCGCAGGGGACCCCAAAACATGGAAGCGCCGGCCTGGCTTGCAGCGAGGGTGGAGCGGGAGAAAGGGAAAAAATATATATATACAATTTTTTCCAGGGTGGGCAGAAGGAGTCCATGCCTCTATTTATGACATTTCAAAACCAGATGAGGAAAAAAAAAAAGGGGGGGGGGGAAATGCTGAAATAGCCGAGATGTGAAAGCTGGCTGGGCGGAACTAGAGTTGTTTTTTTTCTAGCAGATCACATACTCCAGAGGAGTCAACAATTGGGATCGCAATGGCCCCAAAATGCAAATAAATCAAGTGCAATGCAAAGTTGTGTCATTATAACGATCCTTGCATATATCAGCTCGCATTTGCCTTCAAGAAATGAATGCAAAATGATCCCCTTTCTGGTCGATCCTTGACTCCCCATGTCCTCATTTTGGGATGTCTTGCCCTCTTTCGAACCATGGAGCTAGAAGGGATCCTTGGGGTTCCTCAGGGAAGCACCCTGGGGGATCGAACTCCACTCTGGGACAGCCGGTGGTGACCACCTTTCTCCCTTCTTGGAACATCAAAAGTGTTTGTGTGGGGGGGGGAGGAAGAGACAGGATGGTGCCATCTGGCATCATCCTGTCTTTCCAGCAAAAAAAAGGGGGGGGGCATGAACTGGTGTCTTTGACACCAGTGGAGGACCCCGAAGAGACCCTCTGCTGGTAAAAAAAGTTTAGTGGAAGCTTGCACGACTTGAAGATCCTTTCTCACTCCTCTTTCCCATTCCCATCAGAGTCCCCAAATGCTGCTTCATCCACCCCTCTTTGGTGAGGAGAGTGTGGGACCCTGTAAAAACCAGGGAGAAGGTTTCCCCTTTCCTTCAGTATTAAAGTTTGCAGAAAGGGTCACCGCTTCCCTAGACTCCCTGGGCACCAAGGTGTCCCCTTCCTTTATTTCTATCTGAAAACATTTTAAATTGCACCACAGCCTTTGGAACTCCCTGCCACTGGAGGCCAGGCTGGCCCTATTCATTGTTCTCCTTCCGTGACCAGCTAAAGACCTTTCTGTTCAGGCAAGCCTTTCCTCAGTAAACCAGCTCCCCGTGTATGATTTTTGGATTTTTAGTACTGCTTATGTTTTCCATTTTTGTATTTTCCATTTTTCAATGGCTTGTGTGTATGTGTGAGTGTGTGTACTTTTTGTTCTTAGCTTTAACATTGCCTTTAAATGATGTAAGATGCCTCTTTAATCATTGTTCTTGGTAAAGGTAAAGGTTCCCCTTGACAATTTTTGTCCAGTCGTGTTCGACCCTAGGGGGCGGTGCTCATCCCCGTTTCCAAGCCATAGAGCCAGCGTTTTGTCCGAAGACAATCTTCCGTGGTCACATGGCCAGTGCGACTTAGACACGGAACACTGTTATCTTCCCACCGTAGTGGTCCCTATTAATCTACTTGCATTTGCATGCTTTTGAACCGCTAGGTTGGCGGGAGCTGGGACAAGCGACGGGAGCTCACTCCGTCGCATGGATTTGATCTTATGACTGCTTGGTCTTCTGACTCTGCAGCACAGGCTTCTGCGGTTTAGCC